CAAAGCAGTTAACTAACACAACATACTTTCCCTGGTCACTGGTCTGTGCTCTCTCTTTCTCTCTTATTGAAGAAACATTGGTTTACAACACTGTATATGACTGAAAGGTATAAGATCACACCCTTCAGGTGTTGTTTCCATACACACCTGTCACCAAGGTGACAGTCCTCCTCCATAGTCCACTGGGGGCCCCTACGCTTTGCCCTCCCTCCTCTCTCGCTCTCCTCTGGTAGCCTCAACTCCACAGTGAGATTTCAGTTTGTTGTTGGTTTGGTCTTACATAATTCTTGGCTTTGTTCTTTATATTCCATGTATAAGTGACACCATTCAGTACGTGTCTTTCTACTTTGAATGTATTTCACTTAGCATCATTCCTTCCAGTTCGACACCTGTTGGCGAACATTCACCTTTTCCTATAGCTGAGTAGAATTCCATTGTGTGTATGTACCACGTCCTCCTAATCCACTCAACTACCTTGGAGCACATAGGTTGTTTCCAGAGCTTGACAACTGTAAATTGGGCTACAATAAATGTATAAGTGCATGGATCCCTTCAAATTAGAGTTTTTGCATTCCTTGGAAGGAGACCTAGGAGCAGAGTTGCTAGACCATATGATACATCTATTTTTACTACTTTGAAGAACCTCCATCCAGTTTCCCACAGAGTTTGGAGCAGCCTACATTCCTGCCAAAAGCATGAGTGTTTCTCTTCTCTACATCCTTGCCAACAAAAGTTCTGGTTCTTTTGATATGGTCCATTCTCATAGGTGTGAGGTGATATAGTGTTTTTGATTTACATTCCCCTGATGATAAGCAGTGATAAGCATATTTTCATATGCCTATTGGTCTTCTGTCTGTCTTCTTTGGAGATGCACCTATTTTTACTCTCCTACCCATTATTTGATTTGTTTTGTTTTCTTTTTGTTGAGTTGTACGATTTCTCTGGAGATCTTGGATATCAGCCCCTTGTCAGGGGTATGAAATGCAAATATTTCTCCCATGTGTATTTTTGTTCTAATAATCCTTCTGTACTGTGCAGAAGCTTTTTAATTGTTTTTAGTCCAAATTGTTCATATTCTCTTTTGTTTCTCTTGCTATTGGAGACAAATTCACAAAGAAATCCCTGAAGCCAATGTCATGGAGTATTTTGTCTGTTTTCTTCTATGTAGTTTATGGTTTCAGTTCTAATATACAACTCCTTTATCCATTTGAGTCAATTTTTTAGTATCATGTGAGAGAGTGATTTAGTTTCATTCTTTTTCATGTGGTTGTCCACTTTTTTAACACCACTTGTTGAAAAGACTTTCCTTTCTCTAATGTAGACTGTTTGTATCTCTATCATTCATAAACTGTCCATTTAAGTGTGGGTTAATTTCTGGGCTCTCAATTTGAATGCACAGGTCTGTATGGGTTTTTCCTTCAGGCACCATACTCTTTCGTTCCTTGAGCACTTACTTTGTGACTTTCTTATACTACTAAGTCACTAAATAGGACACATGGAGACTCGACCTTCAAGGAGTCCATGGAGGAAAAGAGATGTCAAAGAACTAACAATAGTAGGCACAAAGTTCTGAAAAGAGTTGTTTGTTACAAAAGGTATAACACAGAGAACTAACTTAATGTTAGGCCCAGGAAAAGTTTCCCTAAGGAAGGAATAACAGTGAGAAAGATAAAGGAGAATAGCCTAGGCACAGAGACCTCTATGCCCTAAATGAGAATATTCATTTCTTAAAGCGCATCTTAAGTCGTGCATTTACTGAAATATCTTGGTTCGGAACCAAACCTGTAATGATGTCTGGAATTTCAGGGTATAATACTCATTATAATAGATTAAAATAATTTCTTCCTCTAGAAAGCCATTATACTCTCTTCGACCTTTATTACACTTAAATAAATTTATCCAGTCTTGCTATAAAAGTAGTGGCTCAGTGTGTGATTCTTCCTCCTTTATCTGGCTAAACTATTATTTCATCTACAGAGACTAATATTCTAATTGAGATCTAACCTGGTTAAGAAACTGGTTTCTTGTGAAACCAATAAAAATGTTGTAAGTATTTATTCAGTCACATTTGTTCTTTATGAGTAATTGCAAATGTTTGAGTTAGTAATAATTGTACTTCTGGTTATAAATTCTTTAGTCGGTGGGATTTGGGGAGTTGTTCTACAAGGTGTCAGAGGTTTATGTGTATACTGTGTGGCAGAAACAATAAACGACATTGCTTTATGAAAACACACTGGACATAATTAAAGTGAGATGTCCTTACAACCTATGGTTTTACAACTTAAAGTTGGCATGAAACAGATACAGAGACATAAACTGCCAGAAAAACACATGTTTTCATGATACATAGACAATTCTGAACAACCACTGAGGAATCTCTTTGAAATATTTTTAGGAATTGAATTACATGCTCAAAAAAAACTTCATGCTGAAGTTCTTTCTAATTCCTTAGTGCCTGATTATGTGACTATGCTGGTACTTGGGTCTTTATAGAGACAATAAAGATTAAATGAAGTCATAAGGGTGGGAATCTAATCCTCAGAAGAAGAGGAGCCCACTGGGAATACATGTGACAAGAAAAGACACGTAAGGACACAGGGAGTGGACAGCCTACGGCAGACCAAGGAGAGAGGCCTCTGCTGGCACCTGGATCAGACCTCTAGACACTGCAACTGTGAGAAAGGGATTTCTATTGTTGAAGCCCTCCACTTGGTGTGACACTTGGTATAAGCTGAATTTTGTCCACCCAACAATTCATATTGTGTAACTCTAACTCATGGCTTGACTGTATTTGAAGACAGAACCTTTACAGAGAAAAATCAAGGTTAAGTGAGGTCATAAGAGGGGGCGCTCTTGCTAAAACTGGGGTCCTCAGAAGAAGAAAGCCACACCCCAGCATGTGCCCGTGCCACCAAGAAGAGACATGAGCACTCTGAGAAGAGAAAGCCATCACCGAAAAACCTGGAAGAAGAGCACCACCAAGTACCAAACTTCCCTGCACTGGGATCTTGAACTTTCAGCCAGCAAGTCAGCGTCAGTGGTTGGAGTGGCCCAATCTATGTACTTGACATGGGAGGTTAGCAGACTAAGACAACAGCTAGTTAATACGGATATATGTATGTAATTTTCAGTCACAAATATACATATGTATGAGTGGATGGACGCACCCAGACTGGCTTTGTGCAGATAAGCCAGAGTGCTATTCGAAACAGTAGAAACTGTTATGTTGTCTTCGTCTATTAACATTTTTATTAGATTAAATATGCAGGTGCATAATTTATACTTCTGCAGCCAGATTATATCTGAATATTACCTAAGAAAAACATTGTTTTATGAAGTAAGGTGAAGGTGTATATGCCCTGGAGTACATGCTTTGGACCTATTCGCATGGAGGTGATTTCAGCACAGAAGAGAATGAACATGGAGGCTGGCCTCCATCGCCCTACAATCGCCCAAAAAGAAAATTAAATTCAAACTCCACTATTTTAAATTAAACTTTTGACATGTAGCTGTTCTAGTCCTCATTCCTGTCACTGTTCACGTTACCTTCAGGAGCTTTTTGTGAGTTTAATTAAGCCTGACTAATTTTCCAACAGTACAAAGAAAGATGAATTCCTTAAATATTTAATCCATTTATGATGCAAAGTATCATTTTCTGAATGTGGCTGTTAAATTCTTGGAATTAATTAGCCTTTGAATTAAAGCTGCTTTTTCAGACACTCAAGACATAGAGTCACAGCTCACACAATGAGTAAACTCAACATTTCATCTGTTCATCAAGAGAATGTTTTCCAAATGCGGCCTTGAAAACCTCAACCTGGGAGGCTCAGCCATGTCCAGGGAGCTGAGCAATCTCACTCCCCTCGCTCCCCAGGCCTGGGTCTGCTCCCCATTCTCCCTGAGTTACATCTCTCTCCATCCAAGTATCAATAGGTCAAAGTTCACTCCACAATTGCGGCTGTGTTTTGTGTTCCCTATCTTACCCCGAGTCTCACCTCCTTCAGAAAGCTTCTCCCCATTCCGGCTGCCTTCACCAAGCTGCCTCTCCTGCCAGCCACCCTCCCCCTGTCTTGCCCTGACTCTGAACACATGCCTGGGACTTTGTCTGAACTGCATGTTTCCTTTGTTCTCTCCCAGCATTTTGAAGGTTGTCCAAAACCGAAGTGTTCCTGGAGACCGAAGTTCCAAAAAGACGAGGGGATTGAGCCATCAGGACACCAGGTTCACAGCGCATCAACAGTCCCTGATACAGACACTGGATCCTCATGTAAGAAAACAGGAAGGCTGGACCCGCGAGGGGACAGAGCCCGTAGGTCCAGCACCCATGCCACAGTGATACAAGCACAATGCCCCTACATGCCCCCTGTCCCTACAAAGACCCTGCATGACTAACGGTCAGGAAGCTCCTGTCTGGCATCTCCATGCCTGGCACAGAGCTCATGCGAGCCGGCTTAATTTTATTGACAGGGGAGCTGCTTTTTTTCTAATTAAAAGTCAAATTCCACAAGGGATGTGAAAGGATCGCAAGATCACAAATTAGTTATTTAGCTCTCATGCTTACAAGTTTCAACTTAAATAGAGCTTATTGTCAGATAATGTTTTCTAGCATCAGCAGCATACACAGTCACCGAAAATAGCTCCAGACCCATTCGCCGGGCGTGGCCTGCTCTTCTGCCACCCCTCCCACACACCTTCAACTTAAAATCATTCTTTACAGTTCTAATATAAAGCACCAATGGCAAATGACAATGCTTAGTTCTATCTGCTACCTGCCTTTTAAATAAAATACATGATAAAAATACTTGTGTGGCAAAGAAAAATCAGGATAGGAAAACAGAATACTAAGCTCCCTTGGTTATGAGAACAGAGACAGCCAGCACTGGTGGTGGACAGGACACCCACTTCGGGGGCCACCCACTGTGGGCCCCCCAGGGCAGGCCCACCCGCTGTGAGGCCCCCCAGGGCAGGCCCACCCGCTGCAGCCCGAGCCAGGCACCTACCGCCTTTCATCATGCCCACTTCATAGCACTTGCGTAGCCGGCAGGCCTGGCAGCTCTTCCTCCTGTTCTTATCAATTGTGCACTGGTTGGTCGCTGGACACATGTAGTCATTGTGCCCTATTGAAAGTAAGAGGACAGTATTAATACACTGCAGGAATCAGCCAGTCAGAGGCCCCAGGTAAGCTGTCCCCAGGTAAGCTGATTCATGTGCCCACGCTCATGAATCAGGCCTTTGACCATGATGGGCAGGGCACTGTGCCGCTTCCTCAGCTTTCATTGCTTCTGTCCAACTTGTGTTTAAAACATGAAAAAAAAAAACTCTTGTGGATTTAATGTCTGCCTCCATATTTGCTTGGGGAGTTGTTTGAGCAAATCACGTTCAGGTCCTAAGCCTACATTTTGGGACACAGTGTTTTATATACAGTCACAAGGTGAAATTTCTCAGCAGATAAGACTTTTAGTTTTTGACCCATGTCACATGTGAAAATTATTGTCAAAACAGATCTATTAGTCCATTCTGACACATAGTTTCACAGTAACCTCTCTTAAGGTATAATACATAGGATATTTAAGTTGATGTTGAAAGATTGCACTGGAGCCCTCCCTGGTGGCACAAGGGGTTAGGACGCAGTACTATGAAACTCTCCACAGCCCCTACAGCACAAGTTCGATCCCCGGCCAGGGAGGTGACCCACATGGTGCGGCAGACCTCTCCTGTCTCACCCACTGCTCCCTCAGTAGAGTATTACAGTAGATCTGCCTGTTCTGCTCCCACCTCTGTCTCTGGTGAGTCTTCTCGCCCCCTGCATCCCAGCTCTTATATGCATAAATAAACAAATCTTTTTTAAAAAAGAAAGAAAGAAAAGCTCACAGGGCATTGATATTTGGGTTGGGGGTGGTAGGTTGGGCTAGTAGCAAAGTTTTGTCCCTAAGTGAGTACATGGCTTACTAGTGAGGACACCATACAATGACTCAACATCTTTAAGTCCCACTTAGCTCCTCTCTACCCTAGAGAAAATAATGGCACCCACCACACAACATTTTAAAAATTAAATTTGAGGACCTAGGGTTTACAGTGCCCTACATAAAAGTACTCAATAGACACTGGTAGTTGTTGCTGCTACTACTTTATTATAATTCTCTTTCTTTTGCCTCTTGTTTATCAATTCTGTTCCACTCAATTACTTCTTTCTCATTGGCTTCTATCAAGGGCAACTCTGAGCGTACTGTATATGCACGCTAACCTACACCTACAGACTAAATATATCAACATACTAGTTTCTACATAACAACCTATTCCACAAACTTGATCAAAACATCAGCTGCTGCCTTCCATCCTGTCTTCTTTTTCAGCTCCACCCCTCAGAGAGATCTATACTTGACATCATGTCTACACTTCCTTTTCCTCCTTTCCTGCACGGCTCAACCCACACCAACCTGTTTTCCACCCTAATTGCCGCCCTCCCTTTCCAGAAAAAAAAAAAAAATTAATTGCCCCACCAAAGCAACTTCTCTGATGTCACCAATGACCCCCATTGTGACATTAACATAAATCTTCAGTCCACATCATACTTAATACTATCAGAAGCTTCTGACAATTCCTTCCTTCCTCTTGAAACATGCTTTCCCCTGAGCTTTCCAAACACAAAATGCTCTCAGCAACTTTTGCTCTCAGTCCATGGTTTTCCAGAGTTGTTTATGATTCCCTTGCCTCAAACCAAGAGTAGCCAGATGCACAGGGCTCAATGCCAGGTTGTCTTCTAGCTACCCATATTCTACAAGAGAATATATCCATGATCTTTATGATCCAAGACCACTACACATAGATGACACAGGGATTTACACTCCCAGCCCAACCCTCTTCCCTCAGCTCCAGAAACATATATCCAGTTAAAGCTGGATTAAAGCCCAATTAAAGCTTCTGCTATAAGGTTTAGAAGTAGCCTCCAATGCTTTATCCCTTGAAAAAAGTCTCACTGAGTATGCAAAATATCCTCAACTTAATAAGCATTGGCATGTTTTTATAGCTCTTGGGGAAATGTCCTAAATTTAGACTCACGGGAGGATATGTTTTAAAACCTATATCCCATTTTCTAAAAGGAGACAGAGTTTAAAATCTGTCCTCTAATTCAGATTCTCTGTCTCGATTTTCTCATTTACTAAGGGCAAGATACAGCGTGAAATGCAATGTTTTAACTCCAGAATTCTTTGTTCTTTATTCAATTTAAGGTCAGTTCCAATTTGAATACGCTGGAGTGGGGACTTGACAAGAAATGTTGATCTCATAAAAGTTGGTTCTTTATCTCTAGGTATACATTATAAAATGTACTGTGTAAACAGGCATCAGATCAAATTAACATCTGCACTATTCTACTGAATAATAGGAACCAACAAACCAGAGAGCAGAGTTAGAAGCCTGAAACTAGCAAGAGACCACACACTGCCTCAAATATCTAGACATAGTTATTATTTTTAGAAGTGTCTTTATTAATAGAGTTGAATTGAGGAAATATTAGAACCAGCAACAAAATTTACACAAGTGTGAGCACTACACAAAAGATACGGTCTATTGGCATCACAAAGAAACTTTTAGATTGGGGTCTCCTGTGGTTTCTATGCAGTACATGTAGATAAATTTTAACTCCTGTTTTAAGATGAAGTTACACTAAATGTCAAAAGAAGATAGCCAATGATCATTTGAACCCAAAACTACTTTGATCCACTTTCTCTCCCCACAACCAGTTGTTTCACAGGCCAAAAGATGGGAGAGCTGAACCAGGTCATAGGCCAGTTGGCTAAATTTTATGTTTGGATTGGCCATTCATTGTAGATGTGTATCTTTATAGAACCAAGTGAAATTCCTGAACTAACATGTTTAACATATAAACTATGTTGGATTTGTACAACTGAATTCATCCCTAAGCCAGAATGAAAAGTTAGATGCGTCACAATGTTCATACCATAAGCCCTTTATGATAAAGTTGGGTATTTTTCTTGCCCAAACTATGTTAAAATTTAAAGAAATGAGAAACATTTAATAGGTAGATATCTGATATAAACCCTTAAAACACAGATTGGGATTTTAGTGGTAAACTTTGTGGCGTATACACATATATATTCATAATATGAAATCCTGAGACTTATATTTAGTTATAATGCAGTGTTACTTCTGTAAAAAGTACAGAAAAATAATAAATAAGGTATCAAAAGTAATTAATTCTTCTTAATCAATCTATTGATGTAAGTCTTCAGCTTACATCAGAAAGTTAACAACAAAGAAGTTTACTTTTCCCCTAATAAATATAACTTGGTAAAGGTATGTTATTAAAACAGTTGATTTGTTTCTTCAAGGAGAAACTTCCTTTTAAATTTTATTTGATCTTGTAAAACAATGCATGAGAACATCCTATTGAGGTAGAGTTAGTTGAAAAAAGCACACACAACTGTGTCAATGAAACATGCAGTCTGGTTTTACTTTTTCTGAAGAGACAGAAGAACTCTGTATTCCTGTGACCAAAGACATCTCAAAGTTCTCTTTGCTTAGGTCAGGATGAAGCACAAAATATTACAGCTGAGGTGAGAGTTTCAGGAGAAATAAACACTATGCTGTGTCTACCAAAACAATAAAAACAAGAAGACTTTGGGCTACATGTAGGCATTTACCCAAAGAATCCAAAATTTAAAAAGATATATGCAACTTCATTTCCCTTTCAACATTATAGATAATAGCCAAGCGTTTCACACAACTCAAGTGCCCACTGACAGAGGTTCAGATAAAGAAGAGGTGGTGTACATACCAGTGGAATACTATTCAGTCATAAAAATGATGAGATCTTGCCATTTGCAACAACATGGATGGACCCAGAGGGTATTGTGTCTAGTGAAATAAGTCAAGAAACACAGCATAATTTCACTCTGATATGAGATAGAAGGAAACAAAACATAAACATTTGGAATATGAGACTAAATTAGTGGTTACCAGAGGAGGGGGAGAGGGCATGGGAAAATAAGATAAAAGGGGTCAACTGTGTAGAGAAGAATGGAACTGGACCCTAAGCGATGAACTTAATGTGGTCCACATGGAGGTTGCTCTATGCTGATACACACCTGAAACACCTATGATGGTATAATGCCATATTGTTTAAGTAAAAAAAAATATTTTAAAAAACTTTGGCTAACATAGGCTTTCTGTAACAGGAAGTGGAAAGGAGAATAAGCAAGTGAATCAGAGTAGCAACCCAGGAGCAGAGACTGATTCATTACTTTGGGCAGAAGAGGGGCTCTCACAGAACTCTTCCCCGTGATCCTCTGGGACTCTTTACTTTCAATTTCCCTTTTCATCTTGTTTTCTTTCTTCCATTGACATTTTTTTTTCATTACCATCACAAACAAAATTTCTATCTGTCACTGCAAAAATAAGCTATATTCAGAGATTCAGAAGAAACAGGAAAATGGCTAGGGGAGGTTGGGGAAGAATGAAACCTCCACGCTTTGTTAGTGGGGAGGTAAGCTGCTGCAGTTCCTCCGACAACAGCGTTTTGGGGGGAAGGGGAATTAAAACTATAACTACCATATGATCCAGCAATTCCACTTCTGGGAATCAAGCAAAGGAAATGAAATCATTATCTCAAAGGGATATCTGCACTTCCAGCAGCTGAGGCAGGGAAACAACCTAAGTGGCCATTGACAGAAAACGGGATAAAGATGTGGGGTGTGTGTGTGTGTTGTGTGTGTGTGTGTGCGTGCACATGCACACATGTATATATAGAACATATATAATGGACTATTATTAAGGTCTTAAAAAGAAAGCCTGTCATTTGAGACAGCATGGAGGAACATGAAGGACATTATGCTTAATGAAAAAAGCCAGACTGAGAAAGATAAATACTGTAAGGTATCACTTATATGCAGAATCTTAAAACAGAAAGGGTTGAACGCATAAAATAGAGTTGGAAAGTGGAACCAGGGACTGGGGAGTGGGAGGAACAGGAGAAGGTTGGCAAAGGGTACATAACTCCCAGTATAAGAGGAATGAGGCGTGAGGATCTGATGAGCAACATGTCAACTCTTGACAACGGTGTTTTTCTAAAAGAGTAGAACTTAAATGTTCTCCCAAG